AGATCCTGGTGGATCATATGCTTTACCCACAGTTATTAATTTCCATAATGTGACACCAGCATGATGTTGAGTCATTTGTTGCAATTTGTACAGATCCAAAGGCATATATTAGAGCTTAACTTTGGGCCTGTGCCAAGGGATGAACCATGTTGACACAACTGTAATTGAGTATCTAGGCACCTGGGCTCAGAGTCAAAGGTGGGTGGATGTAATAGACACTATAGGGTACTTTTGGATGCAGGAGATAATGTGCCTTTACAGCACTAACCAGCACTACCTGGGCAGTAGCAAGTGTCTTTTTGAATGACCTTCTATCTTAAATTTTAATCCCTGTTTAGATTCAGTATGTTGGTCATGGTATGAGAATTGTACTCAGTATATATTTTTTGGCCTTGTATTTCATATTAAGGTAAATACCTTTATAAACTTATGAAATTGGAAAGCTGTGACTCTCCAAAACACAAAACAAAGTTGTCTATTAGCTATGCAAGGCTATATGCACATAAATGCTGCTACATGTAAATTATCTTTTGATGGAGTATAATGGGAGTAAACCCAGACTTCAAAGCAAAGCTCCATAGCTCTTAAACCTGAGAAGAAGTATCAATTTGCAAGATCATCTTCATAATTTAGAAGAGTGGAAGAACCACAAGGGGCATTCTAATGTGGTTAGAGATGATAATATTATTTTTAAGTACTTCTTTTTTTCCAAGATAGCTTTGAGATGCATTTTAAAATCTTCTTTTTTTTTCTGTTCGTTCTGCTCCTCCTTTCTGCTCTCGCAGTTCCATGACAAAATAAATGCAACGCTTGAGAGCCTGAAGCGCATAGTGGAACGCCTGAGTCAGCCCCCTTCCATCTCAGCAGAGGTTGAGAAGATTAAAGAGCAGATCAGTGAAAACAAGAATGTGTCAATGGATCTGGAGAAACTTCAGCCAGTGTATGAGACGCTTAAAAAGCGAGGGGAGGAAATGATTGCTCGCTCAAAAGGAGCTGATAAGGACATATCTGCTAAAGGTAGTAAATTGAGGGAAGTTTTGTGTAGCTGAAATACAGCGAGCTGCAGTATATAACTATCTTCATTTTTTACTACTGATCTGGGGGCTGTATTCTCCTGGAGAAGCTGCTGAAGCAAGGCACTAGTTTAATAATTCCTCCTGGGTGTGAACTCTGTTTTATTTTTAAAGGCCTTATTGATTGTTTCCCCTTAGCATTATGGAGAGCCCTTAACATTATGGAAAGGAACAATCTAGTGTCGGAGCTTTAAAATGTGTGCATACATACAACTGTTTCTGTTGTAGAACTGTGGAGATATTTGTGGCCAAGGTAGTAAACTAGTTCCTTTTTTGTTTAGCTGTTCAAGATAAACTGGACCAAATGGCCTTAACTTGGGAAGACATCCTGACATTGACTGAGGAAAGAGAAGCCAAATTGCTGGATGCAATGGAACTAGCTGAGAAGTTTTGGTGTGATCACACGGCTCTTGTCGCTACTATCAAAGACACTCACGACTTCATTCGGGGACTGGAGGGACCCGGAGTCGACCCGTCTGTCGTCAAGCAACAGCAAGAAGCTGCAGAGGTCGGTAGGAAGTGTTTGCTCGACCTCAAGTATTTTATTTTCAGTACGCAGGGAAAAGGCAGAATTACTATGAAATACCACAGAATAATTCTTTTAGAAACCAGGGAGGATAATTGGGTAGAAATTTACTGTAATAACTATCTGAGGAGCCTGTGGCAAATGATGTGTATCAGTGCTTAATTGCACTGAGCATGCAACTTATGCCTGTCATTATATTTACATATTTGTTTATAAACATATGTATAATAGGCATGTTATACGGATTTTTTGTAGTCGTACATGTTTTAGATTCCTTGAGTAATACGTAACATCTGAATGAAAGACATACTGATGTGTGTATTATGCTCTGAGCCTCTAATTATTTATACTGATAGTTAAGGATTTGAAAGTACAAAAGT